GACATGACTACATGTTTTCTACTCGGACGAAACGCATAGCATAATCATTAAATTATCGCTCATATCTAGTATTTTGATCGGTATTTATTTGTGCAATATTTATATCATATAAACTATGTTACATGTTAGAGTGGTAAATAAATGCCATGCATTGACAAATGACTCCTATGCGTTTCTTATTTTCTTATATGCTGTCTTATTTTATATTATTCTCTAATTTTATTCTTTCTTCTCGTGTATTCAATATGATCGACATTCGGAATGGATTTTTTTACGTTAATGTAAAAGAGCAAAGACATACACCGTTTTTGTTATTCACATCAGGGAAAATACCAATTCTTAAAAATACCCTTTGATTTTATATAACTCTCCACATAGCACAGACGTCCAAAGGATGTCCCAAAGACGTCCTAAGGACATCCTACGTCCTTAGGACATCCCTGGGATGTCCCTTGGACGTTTTGTGTTATGTCCCAGTAAGCAAAATGCTAGCAGAATGCGTGCAGATTGACGCCAATTTCGATCAGATCTCTACATCAAAACCATAGCCATTTGTGTCCTCATTAGGCTTGTGTTTTGTCGACAGGACCTGTGTGACAGGCTGTGCGAGCAGATTGTCGGCAGAAACCGCGCAGGTCCTGCTGCCAAACTACGCGTAGAGTCTGCGCGCAGAGTTTGCTCGGTTTCTGCCGCCAATCTGCCATCAAATTACTGCAAGTCTTACGCGATTTTTGCTACAAATCTGCCGTCAAATATCCGACAGCAGGATCTGGCGCATATTTGATCGCAGATTGGCGGCATAATTTGATATAACAAATTCTGCGTTAAATTTGTTGCCTATTTGCCATCAAACTATGATAGCAGGCTTTGTTCGAAATCTGCTCGCGCAGGTTTGGCTATCTGGGGTGGGTCACCACCTGTTTTTCGAAGATTTATTAATCACATTTTTCGATCTTTAGCTAATTATGCTATTTGATTAATCTATTTGGATTATTTAATTATTATTCAATTAATTGCATCTAATGTAGAAGAAGGTATTGGACGTTTACCGAAAGTTCTTTAACCCTTTAACTGCTGAGATATTAAATGACCAATATGACCCTCTTTGCTGAGTTATTTTTACAATTATAAAATATTTTATAATTATAAGATGACACTATATGCCCGTTCAATTCAAAGCTTGCTTTTTACAAACTAAATTAAATGAGTATTATACATTGAAAGTTCAAATCGAGTAAACTCCATCGTAGCAAGGCCGCCATTTTTTTCCATACTCGAGTTATCTCGACCTTAGCAGTTAAAGGGTTAAATCAAGTAATTATGGCTTAGATATTAATAAAGATAAATGTCAGTTTATGCTGCAATCTAAAATTGAATATCTCGAACAAATGATAAAAAACGGTGAAATTCATCCGTCTCTCAGTAAAGTATAAGCTGTTTTAAATTTTCCAAAGCCACGTTTATTGAAAGATATTCAGAGTTTTCTCAGATTGTCAGGATATTTCAGAAAATTTATTAAATCTTATTCGATTAAAATGAGACTTTGAGTGATATATTAAAGAAAGAAAATTCATTTGTTTGACTTTAAGGAAGAAGAATCTTTTGAGCAATGAAAATCAGATTTAAGCCGTAATCCGGTTTTGAAGATCTCTAATCCAAAATTTGAAACGGAATTATACATTGACAAGTATCAAGACGGCTTTGGAGTAATCTTATTACAAAAGAATCCTGATGATAATAAATTTCATCCTGTATATTATATGAATCATAAAATGACAAAAGCAGAATCCAAATATACAAGCTATGAGCTTCAAGTTCTAGCAATGATAAGAACTCTAGAGAAATTCCGCCACTATCTATTGGGTTTAAAATGTAAAATTATCACAGATTGCATTGTTTCAAGCATACGATGAATAAGGTCAAGTTATCGGCTAAAATTGCAAGGTGAGCTTTGTTGATTGAAGAATTTAATGTCGGATATAGACTCAATATTAAAATGAAATATGTCGATATGCTTAGCCACTATCCGGTTGTGACAATTAACCATGAAAACAATATTGTAATTAGAGGTAAAAACGCATTGAAAAATGACCCAGAAATACAGGCTATTATGGAAGTCCTAAAGAATAAACCTTATAATGATTACTTTCTGCGCAATAATATATTACATAAGTACAAAAACAGTCGGGAATTATTCGTGGTATCGCAAGATATGTATTATGATGATCATAGTAAAGGTCATTTCATAATAAAACATATAGAGGAAGCTATTAAACAAGAATTTTACATTCCGACGTTAACAAGAAAAACTGAAAATGTGAAAGACTAGAAGTGATCGCTAATTATGTACCTTGTATTTTAGGCAATAAGAAAACGAGTAAACAGAAGGTTTTCTTAATCAACTGACCAAAAATGATTTACTATTATACACTTACCATTTAGATTATTTGGAAGCGTTTAGATTAGATCGTTGGATTCAACCAATAAGAATTATAATCATCTATTATTATTTTATTGATATTATGTTATTGATAAGTTTACTAAATATATATATATACGAGTGCGGTCCGATAAGTACTTAGCCTCACCGCCCGATGGCGCCACTATCGCAAGAGAAATTTACTATCGTGTAGTACATTCTCGTAGACGGCTACTGTCGAAATTTCAGTCGAATAGGACTCGTAGTTTTGTTTTGACCGCGTGTGGAAGCGGGCGTGTCCGCGGATTTTAGAAAAATGGAAAAAAAGTAATATCGGTCGGTGATTCGATTCTTGTTTTTGGAAGGGAAATCGCGCAGCGAAATCAAAGAGCGCTTGGATGCTGTGTACGGTGACTCTTCTCCTTCGATGGCGACCGTCAAAAATTGGTTTAACGAGTTTCAACGTGGTCGCACGTCGGTTTTTGATGAGCCACGCCCAGGTGCCCCGAAAATGGCTACCACGGAGGATAACATGACAAAAATCCACGATCTCGTATTGACAGACCGCCGATTGAAGGTGCGCGAGATAGCTGAGATAGTAGGCATCTCAAAAGACCGCGTAGGTCATACATGCATGAAATTTTGGGCATGAGAAAGCTGTCGGCGCGATGAGTGCCGCGTTTGCTCACTCCGGACAACAAGCGCAACCGTGAGACCATTTCAGAGCAGTGTTTGACGCTATTTAAGCTCAATCCGAAGGAGTTTCTGCGTCGTTTCGTGACCGTCGACGAAACATGGATCCACTGGTATACACCAGAGACCAAGGAACAGTCGAAACAGTGAACTTCACCCGGCGAACGTGCTCCGAAGAAGGCGAAGACTGTCCTATCGGCCGGAAAGGTGATGGCCACCGTTTTCTGGGATTCACAAGGTGTGATCTACATCGACTACCTGGAGAAGGGCAAAACGGTCACAGGGCTGTACTATGCCGAATTACTGGGCCGATTCGAAGCCGAATTGCAGAAAAAACGGCTCCATTTGACGAAGAAAAAAGTGCTCTTCCACCATGACAACGCACCGGCTCACACCTCCGCCCTCGCCACGGTCAAATTGGTCGAATTGGGCTACGAACTGCTGCCCCATCCATCGTATTCTCCAGATTTGGCCCCGTGCGACTTCTTTTTGTTTCCAAACTTGAAAAAGTCACTCGCCGGGCAGAAATTTGAGTCGAATGAGGAGGTCATCGCCGCCACGGAGGCCTACTTTGCAGACCTCGAGAAAACGTATTTTTCAGACGGGTTAAAGAAGTTGGAGCATCGCTGGGTCAAGTGTATCGAGCTAAAAGGAGACTATGTTGAGAAATAAATCGCCACTTTTCCAAAATTTTCGTTTTTCTTTTGTAGGCTAAGTACTTATCGGACCACCCTCATAGCTGAGTTAATGATCGGTAGGAGGATCGTATAAGAGATACTCGTCTAAGGAGATAATCATGCGGAGTTCGCATAAACCCATGTCTATGTCTCCAGAGCTTACATACATTTATCGCTTTAATACGAATATGCGATGGTAACTGTTGCAAATATGGAAAATAATGTTAAAACAGAGAAATTTCTTTCTGGGATGTACATATTTCTCCTAAAAATCGGTGCGATTTGCCGCCGTTAGGAATCATTTTTAATATACCGATGATTAAGTAAATATATATTATATATATTATATATTGAAAATAATTAAAATAAAAATATAATTCGCGACGTAAAGGTCAAATTTACTTCTATTCTTCTGTTTTACTTCTAGGACTTCTGTTTTTGATATTATGCAATATAGCTGTTTTTTGATATTATGCAATATGTTTAAAACAGTAAAAGTCAATATCAGACATTGCAACAGTTCGTTTGTAAGTGTATAATCGTAGTGCATTATATGAAATCACGAGTAAAATTTGAGTGAGGGTATTAAACGGTCCTACAAAAAAAGACCAAAACATCGCCCATTAATTATAAAACAATCTCACAGCTATCATATGTATAAGAACAATTGTCTTATTCCTGAAGAAAAGAATATAAATATGATAAATGCTATTTTGGAATATGCTTTAATAAAATCATTTGGATTCATATTTAAATACATCACATAGGTAAGTTTATACATAATAAAATTCCGCTTTGCATCTTATTCATGACGCTTTCAAAAAGAGAGATCAAAATATATCGAACAATAAAATAATAATATACGAGCGATGCAGTTCTGACTCGAATTCGATCGCTTGAAAAATATATATTACTATAAGTAATTAAATATTTATTATGTGTGAGAGCACATAATTATTCTTATGGTTTTTGTATCATCTCATACCTGTGTAGATACTTTTACTATTTAAAATATGTGTTATTAACTTGATCAGCATTTGAAAAAACCTTTTGAAGAAGAATAATGTAGCTGCGATCAAAACGTTTTCAAAATATGCTTTAAAAAATATATATATAATTTACAGAATTATATTACAGAATTATAAAACAAGTTATTTTCATAGCACTCTCTTGTATATTGTTTGTAACGATATCGCCAGTTGTCGATATAATTAACCATCAGTGCTTTTATTGACCTCGGCTAGATTATTCAAAGTAAATAAATCCTGATAGAAAATTACATATTCATTAGGAAAAATCACAGAGCCACTCTTATGGTCTCTGTATGATCTACAAGACGCGAATTTATTTTGTTTATTAATAATAGGTGTTATGGGTATGTTTAGTACTTCCTGTATCCGCATTATGGCGTCCTGCGCTTTACTTTTCGATACAGTTGTCAGAAGTACAGGACAGCCTTCACGCTGTAGTGCTTTTATATTTTGTACGGATAGCTCGTCGTTCCCAAATTTGGCATGAAACATTATGATTATATCTGGTTCTGTATGTAACAGATCTGCGTACCTGTAGTATAACATAGGATGATATTCATATTGAAGTTTCTTATTTCGGCGAATGCAAGAATAGCAAGTCCGTATCGATTCACATTTTTGCGGTAAATTTGGCTCTATCATTACAATTAACAATGTTGAGCCTGGACAAAATTGATGTAAAATGACTTCCCAAGCTGACAAACTGTGCATATCTAAGAAACTTCCAGCGATAATATAAATGATGAAGAAAGCACGTACCCATATACACCGTAATAAATTTGCATCCTGCAAAGTATACAATAATGTCAGCGGTCTTGAAAGCTTTTCAGTATTTATGTAATCTACAAAGGACCAAATATAAGGACAAACAAAAGGATTTTTATCACTATTTATGTTCAGATACTTGTTTATATATGATTGCATGTTATTAACAGAATGCATGTTTATATCCAGAAATTTCGTCGAAATTCTTCTATCTTGATAAATTACCGAGGATCTATGAGTATCTAAGTTGAGACAAAGTCGTAGCTGAGAACATTTATGATCATTAGGTGTAGATATGTGATCGGGACACATATTGACGGATTTGCAGGATGCGCAAGCGACCAGGTTGTCCTGTTGACGGCAAATAACACATGATTTAGTTAATAAGATAATTTGCTTTTCGATCGTTGTCAATTGACGTCTTAGCACAATTTCCATATATTCTATACTCTTCTCTCTAGATGTGATCCATTCGTACATCGTCATATTACGAGTATCGCATATGTTCATCCGTGATTTTAAATATTTTATAGTCTGGCAGAATATTGCATGTTTTTCACGATGCAACATTCTGTGCGCTTCGCTGCAATAAGAGATCATATGGCACTGAAGACACGGTTTCAATGTGCCCTGGTCTTCCGACTTGCAAATATAACAAATATTCGGATGGAAAAAGTAGCTATAGTTTATAGCTGGATCTCGTAGCTGAGGCGTTATGCTTTGTGCCATTACTTCCAGAACAATATATCTGCATATACATATATACATATATATTTCTAAAAGTCTTATATATATATATATGTGTGTATATATATATATATATATATATATATACCATATGTATATATATATATATATAATTGACGTTTAGAAATATTTTTAGAAACATAGCGAGCGAAACCTACCAAATCCTATAGTTGTAACGAAATTATATATTCAATATAGATGTTGATTCGATAACTGTTTGATGAACACTAATCAAATGTTTACAAGTAGTCCCCCTGCTTATCTTAGTAAATGTTGACACGATCCAATTGGTATTTAAATGTATAACGAATTAAGAACTTTCGTTCAATAAGCAGACTTGTCTCGAATAAACTTGGATAATAGAGAAACATACAACAGTATGCTTCTATATTATAGTTTATATTCAAATATATACAAATATCCTTGTTGGAACAAAGATACACATTTCATACATTTCCAGAATAGAAAAAATTTTTGGTATATTACTTTTAATAAAGTAACGAGATATGCTTTTCATCTTTAAATATATTTATACAGGGTGTGGCAAAAGTCTGGAAACACTCAAATATCTCTTAAAAAATGAAATTTAGAAAAAAACGTTTCAGACAAAAATTGTAAGGTTTAAAAAGACGCATTCAACAGTAATATCCACTTGGGTGGACCTTGGGTGGCGTTGCCAAGGTCAGATTAAGATCAAACTGATATTTGTAAATCTAATCCCCCACTTTTTATTACATATTCTAGTATCTTACCTCGAGAGCTTTTCAAAACACTATAACGAAGTTTTCTTTCGTTAAGTACTTTCCGAGTTATGAGGCACGAAGTTTGCAGTACCGCCGACATTAGCATTACCCAAGATGTGTGAACCGCGTGGAGGTTGCACGGTCGGATTTACATCTCGTGTGTGCATGTGTGTGTGCGTGCGTGTGTAAAAAAGTGAGTGAGTAAACGATTGACTGAGTATGCATCTACAAATATAAATGTTCTAATTGTTGGCCTTCTTCAACTTGACACTGAAGCAGTCGATCATGAAAGCTCCTACTAACATTTTCCAATGTTTCGGAGGTAATTAATGTCACTTCAGTGGTAATTCGGTGTCGCAAATTATCCAAATTTCGAGGTTTTGTTTTGTAAATGCAATCTTTTAAATAACCCCAAAAGAAAAAATCCAAGGGATTCATGTCAGGTGATCGGGGTGGCCACTCGATTGGTCCCCACTTTCCTATCCATCTTTTAGGAAAAGTGTCGTTTAAAAACTATCATACCTGCGATCCAAAATGTGGAGAGGCACCATCCTACTGAAACCAAACTGTATTAAAATTTAAACCGAAAATATTGCGAATAGCAAGAATAATATCGTTTCGAAGCATGGCAGCATACTTTTCAGCCGTTAGAGTCCCATCAATGAAGAATGGCCATATTATGTGCGTTCCAACTATTCCCGCCCATACATAAATTTTTGTGGATATTGATTGATACAGTTTGGTTACGATCGGTCGTCTGAGTGCGTACTTCCGGGTACAGTGTCAAATTGAAGAAGGTCAACAATTCAAACATTTATATTTGTAGACGTATACTCATTCAATCGTTCACTCACTCACTTTTACACTTTACACACGTACGCACACACACATGCACACACGAGATGTAAATCCGACCGTGCAACCTCCACGCGGTACATCTTGGGTAATGCTAATGTCGGCGGTACTGCAAACTTCGTGCCTCATAACTCGGAAAGTACTTAACGAAAAAACACTTTGTTATAGTGTTTTGAAAAGCTCTCGAGGTAAGCTACTAGAATATGTAATAAAAAATGGGGGATTCGATTTACAAATATCAGGTTGACCTTGACCTGATCTTGGCAACGCCACCCAAGGTCCGCCCAAGCGGATATTTCCGTTGAATGCGTCTTTTTAAACCTTACAACTTTTGTCTGAAACATTTTTTTCTAAATTTCTAAATTTCATTTTTTAAGAGATATTTGAGTGTTTCCAGACTTTTGCCACACCCTGTATATATATATATATATATATATGTATATTTATTTATTCATTTATTAAGACTATCTCTTTAAATAAAACGTAAAAATATTTTAATGGTTAATCATTGTTGGTTTAAAGATTATTAATAAAGAAATTTATTTTTTGTAACGTAAGTTTCATGTTATAATTATGTTAATATTACAATTATTACCTCAAACTGTAAATATATATATCTCTAGCTAAATATTTCTATTTCACATATATTACATACGCATATTTTTCTAGAAGTACTAATTTGTTTATTGTTTTTATTATATATTGTACTTTTGTATTATATTTTCGTTTAAAAATTTTAAAGAAGAATCTATTAACAATTTTCTTGTAATGATGAGTGGTGCGCGATGCTGGATGATAATGGAGATGTACGGTACAGCATTATGTCAATACTAAGAAATTTTTACGTACCGAAATGCATTATATTAGGTGTACAAATAAATAATCCAAATTATTTTAAGCAGTTATGAAATCAATTTTAAATTGAATAGATTTTCCCGCTCTTTTGTGATTATGCAATGTTGACATATAGCTATTAAAAAGAACATATAGTTTGGCGAAAGGCCTAACATAACCTTCAAAAGTATTCAGTTCAGTACAGTCGAAAATGGCAACAGATAAGGTGCATATCCGACACTGCATTCTTTACGAATTCCAACAAGGAAAAAATGCTGCAAGAGCGTGCGAATCGATTTGTTCCTTTCTCGGCGAAGGTATTGTATCGTACGATGTATGCATTTTGGTTTAAGCGGTTTAAAAGCGGTAATTTCAATCTAATCGACAAACAACGCCCTGGAGGCCCTCTGAAGTGCGATAATGATGATTTGGAACAACTGTTCGAGAATTCGACACAAACACAAAAGAGCTTGCAGAACAGTTGGGAGTAACGCAGCAATGAATTTCCAAACGCCTACATGAGATAGGAAAGATCCAGAAAGAAGGAAAATGGGTTCCGCATGAACTCACTGAAACCAACAAAAATCAACGAGTGGCAGCGTGTCTTTCTTTTCTCAATAAGCAGCGTCGAAAGTCTTTCTTGTGGAAAATCGTTACGGGCGATGAGAAATGGATACTCTATGACAATCCGAAACGCAGAAAGTCATGGGTAAATCGCGGAGAATCATCAAAATCGGTCGCAAAACCCAATCGCTTCGGAAAGAAGGTTCTTCTCTGCATTTGGTGGGATATCAAGGGCGTGCTTTATTATGAGTTGTTGGAACCGGGTGAAGCAGTTACTGCGGACTGCTACCAACGTCAATTAATCTGCTTGAGTCAAGAATTGGAACGAAAACGCCCGTATACTGGCAAAGGAAAACGTCCAGTGAAATTGTTGCATGACAACGCCAGGTCACACATTGCTTCCAATACAAAAGACACCATAATAAGTCTTGGCTGGGACGTCTTGCAGCACCCGGCGTATTCACCAGACATTGCTCCATCCGATTATCACTTGTTCCGGTTGATGCAACACGCCTTGTCCGATATGCACTTCCAATCAGTGGATGAGATCCGAAAATGGCTTGACGACTTTATCGTGTCCAAAGACGTAACATTTTTCCCAGATGGAATTCATCAGCTGCCTGAAAGATGGCTTAAAGTTATAGAAAGCAACGGCGAATACTTTGATTGAAAAATTTAATTTACTTTCTTTTAAAATAAACCTTGAATGTAGCTGAAAAAATTGGATTATTCATTTGTACACCTAATATTTCGAAAAAGTCAAAATTTGTCGATCTATCTTTTTCTTATCCTTACTTATATCAAAACAGCGATGAGATCATAATTTACATTGACCTGTTCAATAAGTGTCTGATCCAAGTTAATAAAATATAAAGCGCAAACTTGATATGCAAAATATGTCATTCTAGGAAGGATACTAATCGTCGAATAAAAAAAAAGAAATATTGCTACGTTATAAAGTATATTACGTGTTGTTGCTAATGATCAAGTTTCCTGAAAGAAAATTATGTATGTAAAACGCTATAATGTGTTTCCTGCTCAGTGTTTAGCATTCAAGATAACATAATAAGTCTCTGGTGACTGGCAAAGATGATATAAGAATCAGTTGTAGAGGACGACAAAATAGGATGAATATGAAAGTTATACATACGAGTTATTACTTTAATATGAATTCGCGATAGTAATTGTTACAGAGCTTGTGAAGACAATGTTTTATAAAAATTAACTAAGCGTAAGAGAAACTTGTTTCAAGATTTGTAATGTATCAGAAATGTGTAATAAATATATTAAATATATGTATAGCCTTGAATAACACTATATAATACATTATCCAAAACTCGATTTTACATTTGTTACTACTGATTTAAATTTATTATTTATTATACCACATTTACCGTAAGCTGTAATTATTGTTCTCTTTATTGTTTTATTTGTAACGTGATTTTTATGCATAACTTTGAGTAGGGAGTTCGAAAGTATGTAAGAAGTATGTTCGAAAAAAGACGCTTCATATTCTTGTTAGAAAATTGAAAATTGTTTATTGTTTCACTCTACCTCCCGCAATTTCAATGTTGATTTTTGCTTTTGATCTTTAATAATTAAAATTTGACATATCAAATAAATCAAGAATAATATAGCGTATTGGCATCTCTGTAAATTACTTATAGATTACCTATAAATTACTTATAAATTGCCTACAAATTATCTATAAATTACCTCTAAATTACTTGTAAATTACCTATAAATTACCTATAAATATATGGCTGCAGCTTCGATGCAATAGTTTGTTACAAGAAGTCTTTGACAGTGCATTAGACATTTTATTTTAACATACTTGGAGGATACAGAATGAAAACTTTGGTGTTTATCGTGTGTGTATTGGCCGTTATGGTAAATTTTGAACAATCAAAGTTTATTGAGAATTTACGAAATACTAAAGACATATTTCCATGTTATTATTGATATTATTATTTTTTTATTTAAATAAGTGCTTTTAATTTTCATTTTATTACATGCATTTTCTAAATTATTATGTTTCTAAACCATGTGTGAAGACAATGTTCTATAAAAATTAATTAAATACTTAAGTATGTTTTAAAAACATTGTTTAATGCCATATCTTTTCTATAAATAACAATAATTTTTTAATTCTGGATTTAGGTAGTAATAAAATAGTTTAGGTCCACACTTAAAAACATTTGAAACTACAAAATTTGAATTAATAATTAAATTGTAATATGCCATTTCCTAATTATTTGTTGTAAACGTAAGGTAATAATTCAATGAAATTTGATGCTTCCTACAAGTAAAACATTCACTCGAGTCAAAAATCAATCGAAGCTCCTACTGTATTCGATTAATAAACTCGAACTAAATAATTTTATACATTTGGATGTTAAATTCTTTCAGGGGATGGTTTACAGTTTCGACATTGAACAGTTAGAAAAATTCAGACAAGATTTCATGGAATGTAAAGAGGAATCGAGCGAGTTATCTGGTGAGTGATAACATTTATAAAATCCGGAAGAGAAAAAAGATAATGTGGTAAGAAGAGATAATTTAATATTTTCTTTATTAGAACGTTTTCATAATTGAACAATGAAAGAAAAATCAGTTAGAGTTTTTCTTTCCTTTTTGATCGAGAATACGTTCATTGTATTAGTGACAATCGCGTCTTAAAAATTTTTAAAAGTCTTTAAAGCTTCCGTGAGCTTTTTATCGGTAGAGCGACGATGATACTGTAACAAAAACTTCCGCTAATACATAAATAAATTGCAAAATTTCTCCTTGCGTTATGGTATCTGTAATTTATACGTTACAGTTCGATTCCATTTCCAAGCAATTAAATGTGCGATGTTAAAGGATGACAAAGTAAGTATACATTTATATTTATATATTCAATACATACTCTCTGTCTCTCTCTCTCTCTCCCTCTCCCTCTCCCTCTCCCTCTCCCTCTCCCTCTCCCTCTCCCTCTCCCTCTCCCTCTCCCTCTCCCTCTCCCTCTCCCTCTCCCTCTCCCTCTCCCTCTCCCTCTCCCTCTCCCTCTCCCTCTCCCTCTCACTCTCCATCTCCCTCTCACTCTCTCTCTCCCTCTCACTCTCCCTCTCTCTCCCTCTCTCTCTCCCTCTCTCTCTGCCTCTCTCTCTCCCTCTCTCTCTCCCTCTCTTTCTCTGCCTCTCTCTCTCCCTCTCTCTCTCCCTCTCTCTCTCTCTCTCTCTCCCTCTCTCTCTCTCTCTCTCTCTCTCTCTCTCTCTCTCGCCCTCCTTTCTTTGATCTGTTACCAAATTTATTGCTATATTTATTGCCACAAATATTGAATATTACTTTTTAAAAAGATATTTATAATATATTGATCACAATTAATGCAGATGTCTCAAGGAGTACGAATTTTTAAATAACATTTTAAAGATGCGTGTAAAATACCTTTATTTAGATTTTTTTTAGATGACTTTAAAATGTCATCTAGAAGAAAATATTATTCTTTTTTTATGCTTTGATCTTCAGTATTCAATAGAAGTATTCATTTATTTAGTATTCAATAGCAGAATGATTATTAAAAAATGCACAAACAAAATATCTCATGACTCTTTTTTAGTGAACAGTTAATAAAAGACAGATTTTAATACTTTAATCTCAATCAATTTCAAAATGTGAGTGTTCAAACAAAAAATTTATATTCCGAGAATTATTGAAAAACTTCTATTTCTAAATGCGTTTTAAAATTTATCGCGATAAGAGTATTTCATATAACCTTCTTTCTACTGATTGTATAATTTGTCCAATACGTAATATATAAAGTTGAAAGACATGAAATAATCGGTCCGATTTTGGGGAATTCCAGATTTTGAATGAGAATGGCGAATATATAAAGGAATTAGCTTTGCAGAAATTAGACGACTTAATTTCCGACCCGAACATGTTGAATCTGGCACGATTAATATTGACCAAGTGTTACGATGATGGTAATGGATTTTATTTTCTTCTTGGAAAATATCTTTTATAGCTATCAACTATTAACTTTTTTTAAATCGCAGTTGTTCAAAGCGGAGCCACTGGCAATGACCAGACAATGAAAATTATCATGTGTGGTTTGTCAGCTGCATCTTCCATCGAAGACTCATAATAAAAGTAAAGATTCTTTACAAATATATTTGATAAATATTAGTATATATATATATATATATATAACATTCTGAATATATTATACATTTATATATTTTTTTCGGAAGTTTTCTATATACATAAATTCCCTCGTAAATTCTATAATATATTAAAACGCATTTCGTAAGTACAGATCATAGTAAACCGGTCGGCGAATAAAGTTTATCGACTTCATCGACTTGTTTCTCTATTAAATGACAAAATTCAGTTAATACTGACTTGAAGGTTTCTTTCTCCAATGTGTTACTTGTCAATTTTGCGAGAAAAAGATACTAACAAGGAACATCCGCGAAGTGTGTGTCTCCGATTTCGACGAAATTTGGCATATTTATAAAATAGCCAAAAATAAAAGACCCGTATATTTTTTATCGGCAACAGCGCAGGTTTAATGGGTGAAACTATCCCTCAAAGTTTTATCCCCTTTATGCTATTTCGATAACTATTGCAGATAGAAAAAAACCTTTTAAACAAAAGTTGCACAGTTTTTCATAAAAAATAAAATATGCTTGGTTAAAATAAAAAAATATTTTCAACAATTAACAAAATGACCATATCAGGCTTAATTAATTTATTTATCAATTCATTATATGAAAGTAAAAGTTAGTATTTTTCATTCTGAATCTATCCATATATAATGTTTTATATTTAAATTAAACGGACATTGCAATTTCATAAGTGTAAGTGGTACCATAAGCAAGGTCAATAACATGCGTGAGCGCTTAATCGTTATATCGCTACGCAAACTGGTGCTATGGTGACATATATTTATCTATCTTTTGAACGCATTTTAATTAATACAACAAAATAAAGTAATTCAGAAACTATTAACACAAACACGGGCCGCCGAACATTTTTTTATTTATAACATATATTCCACATCACATTATTTTTAAGTGTGTTATATAACAGATGAAGAAGGTAGGCATGAATTTGAAGGTATGCATATGAGTTATTGACATATTACATACATATACGTATATAGAGGCATTAAAATTTTAAATATTTATTAATATCCAGGTATGTCTCTTACTCCGCAATAAATACGGTATCTTCTACACACTTTGCTGTATAATATTCAATAAATTATCTTTCAATTTTTCTTCGTAAATACTCATCGGCGTATCTTGCCGCAAAGTACTAATATTTGACAAAAAGTGTCTCATTTCAGAGTATTTATATCGTTACGTACATACAATGTTATCGTATGTACGTACATATGTTATGCATAGATGTTTCAAAACAAGTTTTAATAAGAAAATAATATTATATAATTAAACTAAAGAGTCAAAAATATTAAACATTACTATCATAACAAAATTAGTTTTTGGTGCAGCCGCGCCAAGATTTTTTGCATTAAATATTTTTTATTGCATCGTATAATTAATTTGTTGTTAGAGGTATAAGTTTTACTTCTATAAACTTATTACTTGTATAACGGAAATAATTAATTACATTGCCTAAAAGTACACACTCAGGTGTGGTACGATGCACAGTACTAAAAGCACAAACATTGTCCCTTATGTTGAGTAAAGAATTAAATATACTATAATCATATATATATATATATGTCAGGTTTTTCAGTTGGCGTTACTGTTTTAATATATCACTTTTTTTATACAGTAGAACAGTGTGTTTTGTAGAGTTTATTATAGTTATAAGTTTTAAAAACTTGTTACATACATATATATCTTAAAAAAAAAAATAATTTGAGTTTGAGATTTCTAAAAATAACACAATACGTGTTGTGCGTGTACTTAGCGCCTTTCTTTACTTTTTGTTTAAAAAGGTAAGTTTTATATCTTTATGTTATATAAAATATGTTCTTCATATTTTTTATCGAGAGTTTTCAATGTAGCTTTATATACATTGTTTCTTTACTAAATTATATTAAGCTAATTTAAAATTACTAATTTAATTATATATCGTTTCTTTATTGAATTCTATTAAACTAATTTTAAAAAATGTGTTTAAATTAAAAAACCATTTAATAATACTGAATTCTATATCCTAAGGAAATAATCATCCGAAGAAAATATTATTGCTCCCAAATAGTTTTCCGAATTAAAACGACGTAGCATATATGACAACGTATACATTAACTGTTCATATGTTCAATTTCTGTCGTTTTATAAGTGAAAATTACGGTATATCTACTTATTAGTAGAATTAAATGTAATAAAAAATAAGATATGTCATTAAAGTTTATTTATTTAATTCCTTCAGTTATTTACTAAATTTAATAATTCATTTGGATGTAATGAGAGGCTTAATATAGTTTTGTTTATTTATTAAAGTAGAAAATATTAACAAAAAATTATGGGATATCCAAAAATTCAGCTAATACTAATCAGCTAATTTTAAGCCAGACTTTTCTCCTTTTCGACTGTATATTAATGATACTTAAATAAAAACATTTATATTCTTCAGAAGAAACAGTTCGAGAAAAAACATTTCGCTTTCAACATTCCTTACGCAACGAAAATATAAAGCCTGAATTTCTTTTTCTAGTTTCGCTTTTAATAGCAATTAATTATTAAATAAAAACAAAATTTTTATATATTTGTTTGGGATAAATCCTTAGAGATTGTAATTTATAATCGTACTTTATTTAAGCAGATCCAGAAGTTCAATCAGAACTTTTCGAAATGTAACGAGTCATAGAGTGAGTATAATAATTAAAATGCCTAAAGAAATATAACAAAATGAAAATAAAATAATTGTAATGATAATTCCGTAATTAAATAATCGAAAAATGTAGTTTATATAATATCAAAAGGTCTTCATTTTTAGTATTGTATGAAAATACTCATTATTCTATATTATTAACGATATTTTGTGTGTGTTTGGAAACCACCGTCAAGTATTTCTCGTTTCTAATAAAGGTAATGTCAATGTTGCTATTGATTAATTCCCGTTAATTACATCAGCCGAACAGAATATGAATTCTCACAACTCAGTTATTATATCTATAATTTGTGCGTTAAAGATAAGTCCTGTATCGATGTTATTGGATGCATATCAGGAAGGAATGGCAAGATATATCTTTTTATATTTATGTCAATTGTCAGAATAACCTTAACATGGATTAATTAATATAATGTTTCACACACCATATACGTTTCCATTAACGTAAAATTATCAAAGGGACAGATTATGATTTAATGTACCATTTCTATTTCTTTAAATAATCAATATATAATAAATTAATAATCAGTGTGGTTTAAACATTTTTATAACCCAATTACGTTGCATATTAAGATTATTCTGCTGATTTGTGATTATTGAATTTTTAGATCTTAAAATATCTAACATTTTCGATATGTTGTATAAATAAAAACCTAAAAAATTTATTGTAAGTATTGACACACATATTTTCATACAAAATTACTTTATTTTTTATTCCTACTTGTGAAGTATATGTAAATTTCACGAATTGTTATCATAAAAATTGATATTGAAAGATATTGAAAGGAACTTCTTTCAATTACTCATATATTTTACCTATTACTTATATTACATTTAAAAAAATTGTGTTTTTAGTTTGTTATTGAATTATTATTGAATCTGAAAATAGTATAGTATATTTATTCATCAATCCAATACGATTTTCCTCGGCACTAACGTTGTATTATTAGAATAGATATTAAACATTTTACAGGGTGTCCGGAATGTGATCATTAATATTTTGTGTACTGGTAGATTGAGTGTAGCCGAGAAGAAAAGTCATGTACCATAATGTCAAATTGGTAATAGTTATCGAGTTATTAATTGAAACATGTGAGTCAATGAGCGCGTAAAGAGCGCTGGGCGGCCGCCTCTTGTCGCTTGCGCTCGCTTGCTCGTCGTTCGTGCTCGCTTGCTCGCTCCTCGTCGCGCGCGCACGCCTCTTGTCGCTTACGGTTATCTCTCGCCGCGCGAGGTAAGCCATCTTCTTATACACAGAGCTCGTCCTGTCGCTTTCTCGTGCGCTCATTCGTTTACACATTTTAATTAATTACGGAATAAATATTAAAAAAATTGTAAAATGGCACAGGACTTTCTTAATTGTTTTAACGAGTTCTACCAGTACACAAAATATTAATGATCACATTCCGGACATCCTGTATATGATATATTATTAGGTGCTTGCATGTATTTTGATCAGCGCCATATATTGGTGAAAATGCGAAGTATCAATGTAAAACAACCTAACCTAACTGTTAAATTCGATGGTTTTCACATTTCTCTACATAAAATAACAGTTTACCATTTAGTATTATTGAGTTATTCAGTGTATACAGACGCTAATCATGGAACGCTCAAAATTGCATTTTCGACATTCATTACTTTTGTTGTTTGATTTGAAGAAATCTGCTGCCGAAGCCCATCAAACACTTTTTAAAATTTATGGTGATGCTGCTCCGTCATATCCCAATTGTCGGTTTTGGTTTCAACGGTTTAAAAGTGGTGATTTTAATGTCAATGACAAAGAACGGCCTGAAGGACCAAAAAAGTTCGAAGACAACGAATTGCAAGACTTATTGGACGAAAACTCAGCTCAAACTCTCAAAGAACTTTCAGACAGCTTAGCAGTTGATGAATCAACTGTTTCCAGACGTTTACATGCGATGGAAAAGATCCAAAAGGAGGGAAAATGGATACCATACGAATTGACTGAAAATGCCATTTCGAACCGTTTCAACATCGCAGTTTCATTGCTTGCCAGGCAAAAAAAGAAGAGTTTTCTGTGGCGTATTGTTACTGGCGATGAAAAGTGGATCTACTACAACAATCCCAAACGCAAAAAGTCATGGGTTAGTCCAGAAGAGCCATCCACATCGACACCAAAGAGAAATATTCGTGGCCATAAAGTCTTGCTGTGCGTATGGTGGGATCAGCACGGTGTAGTGTATTACGAGCTGCTAAAACCGAATGAAACTGTTACTGCAGATGTCTACCGACGTCAATTGAACAAATTGAACGACGTATTGTTGCAAAAGAGACCAGCAATAGCGAGTAACAGACGCAAAGTCATCCTCTTGCATGACAACGCTAGACCTCAGGTTACAACAGTTGTGAAGGATACACTGTTGCAGCTCGAATGGAAAGTTCTGCCTCACCCAGCGTACTCACCAGACATAGCGCCTTCTGATTATCACTTGTTCAGATCGATGCAGCATGGCTTGGCTGGCACACGGTTTCGAAATGCTGAAGAAGTGCGAAAATGGATCGATGATTGGATCGCTTCCGAACCAACATCGTTCTTTCAACACGGTATCGCCATGTTGCCAGAAAGATGGGAAAAAGTTGTAGAAAATGATGGAAAATATTTTGATTGAAATATATTATACCGATTTTTTTCAATAAATGCCTTTTTAAAGTGAAAAAATGATCAGAATACATGCAAGCCCCTAATACATCGTGATAGTCAGAAACTAGCAACTGGTCAAGTTTTTTGACTACAACATCCATACGTCGTAGTAGAGTACATTTGTTTAATGGGCATATTAAACAGTCACGTGTTAAAAAATGAAAGATACAACACTTCATATACAAAATATATCGCTTTAAAACTAAAAAAATAATTATATAATCCGCTTAAGTTTTATTTTTTGTCGTTTTGACGTCGTTTTGCAACATCAGTTTTAAGTGGAAATCATAAATCAAATGTTTCATAAAAAGTAATAATGATAGCAAATCATATACAAAGCATTATAGAAATTATAAGTCAAACGTTTCATAAAAAGTAATCATATGCAAAGCATATCACTCTATAAATTCGCAGCAGCAGCCACAATGTTACGCAGTCTACAACTAAACTTCTTCATGCGATAATATACTCCGTTGAACGTTGAACGTATTAGAAGGGTTAAAAATGAAGACTATAGTGATTATCATTAGTGTATTGGCAGTTATGGTAAGTATCAATAAGCAAGTAAACATTTTGATTTCAAGAAGTATTTTTAATAGCGTATATTTAACTCACATCTCATTACACGCGTTCTGTATTCAAACTGCATATAAATTTCGATATTTACTACAAACCAAAAGTTTACAAAAATTTTACAAACAAAAAGTTCAGTTGTGTTATGCATTGACAAATACCGCGATAGTATTCGATTATTCAGTTAATACAAAATAACTGTTGTATATTGCGGATATATTTATAATTATATTATCAATATTTTTAGACGGTAGTTTATGGTTACAATGAAGAGCGATCAGAAAAATTCCTCCGTAATCTATCGAAGTGCGAAAAGAGCCCAACCAGGTTACAGGGCGGTAAGTATATACAGGGTGTCCTGGATCTTTTGGAAACGAAAAATTGTGAAGATTAGTCAGATCAAACTGAAAAGAAAAGTCATGTACCATTTTTCAAAAATCGCAATAGTCGTTGAGTTATTAATATTTGAAAATAACCACATCTAAAGGCTCTTTTAATTGATAACTTGAAAATTTGCATATTTATTTGTAAAATGATAAAGGACTTTTTTGTTCAGAATGACATAATCTATAATAATGTGACAGGTTGTGCCTAGTGACAGGTTCAAGATATAGAGTTCAATGTTCAATATCTATTGCGGATAGATGGCACATGACCCTTCTTCTCAGTTTGATCTGATTAATCTTCATAATTTTTCGTTTTCAAAAGATCCTGGACACTTTGTATAATATAATATAAAATACGAAGAACAAAATTACTATTGTTATAGCCTAGTTCAAAAGAAAACTAATTTTAGATTCGTGATATTACTACCTTTCATCAAAAAAGCGCTTATTTTTCTGTATTCTGAACAATCTTCCGTATCTGTCTGGAAACTATTCTCAAGAATTCCTCGATTGCGACTGAGAAAACAACGTTGTTGTAGTTATTTGAATCGTATTAGTTATAAAATCCAAACAAAATTCAGAATGTCACAATTGAAATATTTCTTTTGCAATTTATGCTTTATAGATCGACTAAGTCTCGAAACGGTGATATGCGCTATAGAAAATGATGGTAAGGTATGTATAACTGTATTTAAAGTATGCTAAGTAAACGTAACACATAATATAATTAAGTTACCAGGTCTTCATAAAATTACATTTTCATTCTTTAACATTAACGTAGAGCAATTATTGCATTCTATTACTGATTTATCCGTAATATTAAAAAATTCCAATTATCTCATTACATTGCACATTCAGGCAAATCTGTTAATAGTTAATCTGGTTAATGTATGTAGAATATACACTCTGAACTTCGAAAACAGTTGTAGTATATTTATATAAATAAATTTAGATATGTTTCGCAAATGAAAATAAATACGTGATGTTGACGTTTATATTGAACATTGGGTATAGACATAGGTATTGAACATTGGATATAGATGCAAATACACGCATAAGAAAAAGTTTAGCAATAAGAACTAGAATATGTTAAGACAATGTCTTAGCTAAGATGTGTCTTTAAAATAAGGACAGCTACTGTCCTGTACTTGTTACTGAAACTCATTTTATTAACTATTGATATTTAAGTGCTACAGTGAGATATATTAACTAAATTGCGCAATAGTGCTGAAATTATTTATATTTTTCTCGAGAAACGTATAATATATTTTTATAAAAATTATCCTTAAAATGTTGGTTGATTTATAATAATAATTCTTTAAAAATTGACTTTGCTCGATTCCAGATTTATATTATAGATTTATATTATATTCGAAAAACATGCTTAGTATTTATAACAATCAAACTGTAGATCGACACCATTCCGTCAATTGTTAGAAATATTATATATTGTCTATATCCAACGTAATGAACGCAGTTATATAATTTTTCAATAATAAAACTTAATGCTACATAATTTAAATATAAATATATATGTAGTATGTTTTATAGTATATTTATATATAGTATAGTTATATAGTACATTAAAAGTAATCCGTTTTTATTTTGTAGTATATGAGAATATGTATTAGAGGCAATTATTGAATATAGTAAAAATAAATAACGCAATACTTACTTACAGCGCGACGTCAATAGTACGATGTTATTATTCAGTTTTCCCAGAAATTGAATCGTAGAAATATATTATTCTACATGTATGAATTCGGCTCTTTAATTTTTGTTCTTAAAAATTTTTAAGTTAGAAAGAAATTTAGAAAAAAGATTACAAAGATCCCTTACAGAAAAAGCACTCAAATATTGAGAAAGTGTTTACACTCAACTGTTCAAATATACTCTCAAATGTGGGTATATATATTTAAATTTAGGTTTATATATCTCCATTTAAGAGTAAATTCGAACAATTAAATGTAAAAACTCAATTTTTTAGTATTTTCTTCCGAAAAAAGTAACGGGTGAGAATTAAAGTAAATTAGAACAAATTCTAAAAAAGACCGACATTTTCGAAAACGCCAATACACTGTTATAAAAGGAATAAAATATCTTAAAATTTTTATATAAAATATTTTTCATATACTTTATATTTTCAAAGATATGTCATCATATATGAGCTAATATCCCATTAAAATAAAATATACGTAACATATATCAGCTTTAGTGAATTATCTTACATTTTATATACAGCAATACTCCTTACGAGTAATTGATATAGTAATAAATCGCTGTCAAATACAGATATTTAACGAGAATGGCGAATATAAATTTGAAGCAGCGATGCAGGGATTGGAAGATGCTATTTCTGATCAAAATTCATTGAATAAGGCGAAGAAAACTTTTACTAACTGCTACAATAAGGGTAATTGATTTTATTGTTGTCTTGCAGAGAACTTTTTATAATTCCAAATTCTATTTTACACAAACATTTTAATAATTTTTCTGAAATTTTGTTTTCTTATTATAATTAAGTAATTTTGTTTTAATTGCAGAAATTGAAAAGAAAACCACCGGCATGGATCAGACGAAGGAAATTACCAAGTGCTCTCTGTCGATTTTCTCTTTCTTTGACAAACTAAAATAAACAAAGAAGCGAATTTCAAATTTTCTTCCATACTGTATTATGAAACAATTTTTTTTCTTTTTGAAATATTGCCTATAATCATACTTGGTGTTTGGTTTATTTTCTATTAAATTGAATATGTTTATATTGACGATTAAATAAAATGAGATTGACCTGAAAAATACTCAAAGAAACTCAGAACCTAGAAAGAGATAGACCTTTCGTTGCCTCTATGTTTCCCGGATCTCCATCCGCTAGACTTTTACTTGTAGGCATAGGCGCCGACTTAGGGGGGGCAGAGCACTTTTGGCCTCCCCAATAATTTTATTGGAGGGGCGACGCCCCCCCAATAATTTTATTATTACCCTCTTTACTGGTTATTTAACAACCAAATAATACAAATGAAAAAAATATTACGCATGCCTTACTCTATTCAGAATTGAGCTGTTATTGCTTGTCAATGCGCGGGCTCAATTTCCCAGCGTACAAGGTTGAGTGAGAGAAAGAAGGACGGCATGACATCTTTTTTCGCTCGGCGCGCCGTAGATAGCCAAGCGCTCGTCTCACGGATAGACTGGATGGCAGGACTGCTGCGCGTTCTGAGTTAGAGTGGCATTTTTCAATTTTTTTCGGACAGTTTAGGTGATAAATGATGCTCACTTGACTATGTCGCATTGCAGTATTTATATTACGACATCTTGTACAGAGACGTGAACTTAGTAATCTGTCTTTTGTCAAAGTGATTTTCTTTTAAGTGGTTTTATCCCAATTTATGTAAAATGGATAAATTCGTCTTGCGTAAGTCTGTCAGTACCGAGAAATCTCAAAATATTAGTGAATCCAACAAATCCGCCGACAGTCAGCCTACTATATCGAAAAGCATAGGGTTATGTAATATTAAGTCTACACGTCATTTTTTGCCGTCTTGGATTGAAAAATTTACGTGGTTGATATACGATTCGAAAAAGAAGGTAGCTTTATGTAATGTGTGTAAGACTGTGTACGAAAAAGGTATTTTGACATTTTCCTCAAAAATAGAAAATATATTTATCGAGGCTGGATTTACGAATTGGAAAAAAGCTATTGAAAAATTTCGAATCCATGAAATGTCAGCATGTCATAAAGAAGCTGTACTGAAATTTGTCAGTCTAAAAACGAATGTCAACGTAGCAGCAAGTATTTCAAGCGAAAAATTACGACAAATAAGGGAAAATCGATCCTGTTTGTTAAAAATAATATCATCATTACGTTACCTTGGCGTCCAAGGTATTCCAATTCGAGGCCATACCGATGAAAAGAGTAACTTTAATAATTTATTAAATCTAAGATCCAAAGATTCAGTAGAATTGCAGAAATGGTTGAGCCAAGATTCATATAAATGGATGTCTCACGAAATTCAGAATGAAATTTTGAACATAATGAGTCATTCTGTTTTACGCAAACTAGTTCAAAATGTGAAAAACGCGATTTATTTTTCTATTATTGCGGACGAGACGAGCGATATCACTACTAAAGAACAATTCAGTTTTTGTGTCAGGTATGAATTTTTATCTATTTAAAATAAAATTTATTTATTTAAAAATAATGTACTTTATTCTAAATATTGAACTATGAACTCATAAAAATATTTATTGATAGAAAATTTGATCACAGCAGGCAAAAAATCAGTTTTAACAAAATTGAAATAAAAAAAATTATTTTTATGCTGAGATTCATAGCTTTTACGGTATAATAATTTAAACTTGGATTCACTAAGATTACATCTATTTAATACTATGTTCATGACATATAACGATCGATATTTTAGGTCTACTAATTTAATGTTACTAATTCTTTGCATTTTAGATTTGTAAATGATTCTATAGAAATAGAAGAAGTGTTTCTTGGATTTTATAATACTGACAGTACGACATCAAAGATTTTGACGGATATAATTCTTGATATTTTACATCGATTCGATTTGTCGACTTCTAATATTCGTGGACAATGCTATGACGGTGCAGCGAATATGTCTGGTATTTTCAATGGAGTGCAAGCCAGAATTTTGGAAATTGAAGAAAAGGCTTTTTTCGTTCACTGCACGGCACATAATTTGAATTTAGTTGTTCGAGATTCAGTCAAGTCCAAAACAGAATGTCGAGACACGTTAAATATTATAAAAGATTTAATAAATTTCATAAAAGATTCACCCAAAAGGCTAGCAATTTTTAAAGGTACATACTATAACAGACAGAAAAACCTTTATTCTTTATTTTCGTTTTTTTATTTTAATACGATAACTATATACTACTTATTTTTTGTATTGTTATGTTATTTTTTGTATTGTTATGTTTTATGTGCAGGTATAAAAGAAGAAAACTTAGATAAGAAGGGAAATTTAAGATCATTTTGTCCTACTCGCTGGACAGTACGATACGCATCTATACATTCAATTTATGAAAATTACAATACTTTGAAAGATTTTTTCAGTGATTATTCCTCATCCGATACATCTGACGCAGCTGCGAAAGCAAGTGGTTTTTTAAAAAATATGGAATCTTTTGATTTTTTTATGATATCCATTTTACAGAAAATTTTTAGTCATTTAGATGCGGTAAATATCGTTATTCAAAAGAACCAACTTAACTTTGGGAATGTAAAATTATTAATTCAAACTTTACGTAATACTATAAAAAGTTTTAAAGCCCAATTTGAAGAATTCTGGAAAATAGTTACGTCTATTAAGCTGGCACAGCCCTTTCAGCACAATCGCATGGGAGCACAGAAATTTAGTGCTCTTTTGTTGCTAATTTGTTGCTCTATTCCCGATTTTGTTGCTCCAGCCATTTCCAAGAAAACAGGGGCTGTGCTAGCTTAACATTAAAGTTAACACAGCCCCTCGAAAAAAAAAATAAAAAATGAAAAACGAACACATATTTTTAAACTACGATTTTGTTGCTAATTTGTTGCTCTATTCTCGATTTTGTTGCTCCAGCCATTACTCATAATTTATATTATCATTACTGAAAAAAAGTCGGCAAAAAGAGTAAAAGAAAATTATTTAAATCAATTTTGAAAATCAAATTTTAATTAATTTTGTCCTGACAGTAAGATGAAATATCATGTCGTGTTTCATATTTTTCTGTCCTATGTATCTTTTTCCACTTTGCTTATATGTATTTGCTATATATGTATAAGTATATATTACTTATAATAGCATCTATAACGTACATAACACGAATTATGGATAAAACTATAGATAGTATTGACGATGAATATCGGAACGCAGCATTATTAAATAAATAACAGCGTAGAAATTCATTTTATATATACGTATTCATTTGCAAAACTAAATAGTAAAATTAATTATTAAGTGTTATTTCATACAATAAACAAATAAACACTTACAATTATTATAAATAATGATTTGTTAAGTTTAAATTTAATTCCAGATTTTTCACGTAAAAATAAAAAATAGAGTGGTATTTAATCACAGATTGGCAAGATTACTCATTGAAAATAAATCATAATTATTAAGAATTGTCTGACATGCAATGCGCCATAATCGTGCTATTATAGAAACAAAGACAATTATAATGTTCCGTTTTAATCGTTCTTTTTTTACTAATAACTCAATAATAACATCGATCAATTATACATATATAGCTATCATTTTGCAGAATATAACGAAGTATGCAAAGCAATCGATTTTATCTGTTGCAGGTATTTGACGATGATGGCCGGTTCACAGAGAATAAAACATTAAGATTTATTGAAGATGTTATCTTTGATATATATATATATATCTTTGACATATATATATATATATATACAATATATATATATATATATACAATATATATATATATATACAATATATATATATATATATACAATATATATATATATATAAATTAGAATTAGCGAAGCAAGAATTCATGGAATGCTACGATACGAGTATTCATTTCTGTTAAAAGATAACTAAAAATTAAATGCAAATATGTTCTAAAAAATGATTCCTTTGTCTTAAAATATATTGTTTTAAAACTATCAACTTTTCTTTTAATTACAGTAACTGAAAGCGAATATACTCCCAACGAACAGATATGACAAATTGCTCAATACAGTTTGTCAATTATGTACCAGTTCGAAAATCCGGAATAAAAATTATTTGGAAACTTTGATTCATGCAGTATACGAAATGTTTTCTTTATATTTGTTTCATAATCTTTTCCATGCACCATTTAAATTTTTTATACTGAATTATATATATTCATGAAAATACTTTAATAAAAAAATATTATTTTCTAAAGAACATTCAATGAGACTGAACATATTCCAATTGAACAAGACGAAAAATAATTATATTAATAAAATGTATGATAAGATATCTTTACCTGCAACTTTTATGTTTTTTACTTCATCACATCATAAGAAATAACAATTAAAATAAATTGCTAAATTACTAAATTACTAAGTTATATGTACATTTATTCTTCTTCTGTTTAAATTTCTAATTACATTATAATCTGCACATAGGAATTCTAATAAATAATTTATATTTTATAAATATTGTTGCGCTCACTCTCGCACTCGCGCTTGCACTCAGGTAAATGAAAACACTCGCGTAACAAATATAAAGCTTTACTATTCACAGCACAGCTCGCTTAAGCTTTTTATAGGACTAATTCTCTGATCTACAATTCTTATATCTGTCCTCGATGACAGCTTGCCAGAAACTCTCTGTCAGCTGTTGTTGTTTTCTTCTTATCGATTTTCCGTCGTCCAGACAATCTTCGTTTAGTTGTCAAAATCAGCATCAGATGCCTAAGGCTCGCGGACAACGGACGCTGCCTTATGGCTCGGACACAATATTAATGTAAATGTAATGTATAGACTTTTACAAATAATTTCTATTGGAATATCCTTTATTTACACGTCTCATCCTTGTTTTTCCATAATCTCGGCATTACCTTTTACCAACGTAAATTCTGTATCAAAACAAAAATTGATGCGCCTGCGTGATGTTGAATTACCTATAAATAGGCAACTCACTTTCGATAAACAGATTAATCGTGTTAAGATCCATCTCACTAAAAATTCGTTATCTCCTTAAATGTACCGAAAAAAAGAAAAATCGAGGATGAAAACTTTGTCGATTATTCTGTTTGTGCTGGTCGTTACGGTAAATAAGGCGAAAATATTTTTGCAAACTAAATACTACGTAGTTTTATATTTTGGCATATTATTAATATTACTTCTTTGCATATTGATAATAATATAAATGGTGTATATTTATAAGTTTATATTTGAATTCGCAAAACAACAAAAACTGAATTCTTATTTAAATAATGTTGCGATTATATTCTTTTATTAAATATTCGTATTTATTTTCTCTGTGAAAACATATACTGCGTGATGGAAGGAATATTTAATAATTTATCATTATTTATTAATTTCTAAAAAATCCATTCCATTGATAAACAATGAAGAGTTCGATTACACACGATTTTTAAGCTAAGATAAAACATATATGATATGCTTTATTACGATCAATCTTTTCAGAGGATGATTCACAGTTACGATTACAGACGCGCACAAAGGTTCTATTACTATTTGACAGGATGCAGCACTCAGTTTGGCAAGACGGAAGGTTAAGTATTAAAATTCTGCTAATTTAAAGGAATACATCATAATCAATTGTAAGATAATGAATAATAAAAATCAAAGCAGACAAATAAATACAATATATGTTAGAAACAACACCAAGTGTTAAAATCTAATATGCGACAGGACAATAACATAAACCCGACACAAATACTTGTAAGAAACGTGGTAATAGACACACGAGTTCTCTTCCTATTGCTTGTTACTATTTGTTAATAAATTGGCAACGGAATTCTATCGTTCAAAGAACCAGTGTTTTAAGAAAGCGAAAGGATTTCGTATAACGAAATGTGGATAGTGTGATTACAAACTGCTTTCTTTGTTAAATGTATTGTCTGTTAAATGTATTATTCAACAATATTCTCCGTCAAGAAATTTAGTAATATATTTATATTGAAATAAATTATATCTAGTTCTCACGCGATTCTGGATGGGAATGTTTGCAAAATTTTGAAATAAACATATAAAAATAAAATTACTGTCGTGTTATAATAATTATTTCATATTTGTATAGTCCTAGAAGATATATAATAAATTCAGATTCATATTGCCTCTTCATTTTGTCAAGCACATTATTGTTAGTAATCTTCTATGGTCGTTTGATAATTGCTCAATAGTTTTTCGCTATATTTATATGTTATATTCAGAAAGAAAAATTTTCTACTGTTACATCCATCATTTTTGAATTGCAGTTTCTTTTCGTCCTGATATATTTTACTGCGCGTTGAAAAAGGATCGCCATGTACGTATATTTGTGTCTAAGATATTTTTACATATCTAATACAGTTTATACATCTTTAACGTAAACAATAATTAAGTTATTAGTATTTTACATTCGTACTTTTTCGTTATTCGTTAACGTAAAATTATTAGTGATTGATTAATAATTTAACGTATCCAGAATATAATACCCAATTAATAATGTCAAATAATATATTGAAATCGCGTCAGTAAAGTTTTTAATACTTTCCTTTGAAATATGGCTCATGTCTCTTTAGTCATATAATCAATGAGTAATAAACAAAAATTTCGAGTGGCTAAATATTTCTAGTAATCTATTTATATTGCATATTAAAATGATTCTATTGTTTATCTTGAATGCTTTCAAATGTTTTGGATTTTAATCCAAAATATCCTTGATTTTAATCGAATGTCTCAATGTACTCTTTATAAATGAACAAAAAGAAGATATAAGATATTATAAGATATTATACGCGACATACATTAATGTCGTGAAACAATTATTTATGTTTCACAAATTGTATTAGCATAGTTGTTTAACGACATAATGTTGTTGAAAAGTTTATCATACATTGCAAAAAAAGAATTACAAAGATTTTTAGATAAAATGTGTATGGCAGGATTAATCTTATGGAGCGTACAATTAGTAAACAACATATAAAGTTAACACTTTACATAACATTTATAAAATATGAAAAGTAATGAATTTTATATGTTACAGGCATTTGACAAAGATGGTCGGGTGGTATTAAATAAAGGTTTAAATTTCATTTGGGATATTATACCTAAAGCAGATGATGCGTTAAAAGTATATGATATTTTCAAGGCTTGCTACACGACTGGTATTTAACTTTAATAAAATATAATTAAAGAAAGAAATTTAAAAAATATTTATTAAAAACAATTTTTATTTATTTTAAAAAATTATTGTTGCGCGCGTTTATTGATTTCTTCTGTTGCAGAATATTTTAACTTTGATATGCCAGATGTACAGACAATAAAGATTATCAAGTGCACCTTGTTGGATTCGGATATGTCTCAATACTTTCGAAACATAGATTAAAAGCAACTTGCAAATTTTGCTTCATATAATAATATAAGATTGTATTTCAATATATAACATTGTAATATAATATTGTATAACAATATAAGATTTCTTCCTCAATCTTGACGTTTTTTTCTATAGATTTTCTGTATAACATTTTGTACACGTTTTGTATAAGTTTTGTACATTTAATTTTCATGTCATGCTCAATTTTCTTTGTTGATTTATATGTCCATAACAGTAATTTAATAAAATGTGAAAGAAATTATTGATAAAAATAAATGTATTTATCAAATGAAATAAAAAAACAATCGTTTGAACAGTCTCGTGTTTATAGTATTTGTTTGCCTCTGAATCATCTCACAAAATTACTTGGCGGCGTGCGACGAGACGTAGGTCCGGCGAGATAAAACAACGAATAGCAGCGCATTGTCTTTCCTCTCGCTGCGCACCGGCAATAGTTTCTGGATCAACTGGGCCGCGCTGCGACCTAAGCAGCTGCAACGCTTCTCCAATCATCTATGTCAGCACGCTCCCACTCCTCAGATTTCTGTCATTAATAATTCGATAATTATTGCGAATCTCGCAAAACGGTATAGGACTTTTATGTTTATCTTAACCCAATCTACCTTCACATTTCGGGTTGGCAACTTATAACCTTATAATCAACCACTTATAATCAACCACTCTGTAGATGCTCCGCGGCAAGCTGTGTGCGTAGAGGCTGAGCGATAACGCGTCTCGCGCTAATTGTCGCGATGACGTCTTGGCGCTTTGACACCGTCCGACGGTTAGCGCAAGCCGCGTTATCGCTCAGCCCCTACACACACATCTTGCCGCGGAGCGTCTATAGGCCACGTTGGGAATGGAAAATGCCAAACTTTGCACTGTTATAATTAAAAAGCTATTACGATTTTCACATTATGGCAGAGGACTTTTCTGTTCTTCTCACTTAGCTCTATATCCCTACGGAGCCCGTATTCCAAAGTTCTGAGACACCCTGTATAACGTGCTGATCACTCTGTTTCACAGATATTTTATCGCAATAAATGCATTATATATCTAGATCTATACTACATTCTATACATAGATTTATATTTACTAAAAATTATTTAAGATTAGCTGCAATTTTCTAATTATTTGATTCTCATGACTATTAATTAATCAATTAACAAATCGGGGACGCGTTTAAAACAGAAATTCCACATAAAATTGTGTAATATGAAATTAGCAAAAGAAGTATACGGATATTAAAATAAAAATAACAATGTTAAAATAAGAGATTAATATATAATATCATTATAATGCGTGGATGCAAAAATTTTAATCGGTTTATCAATAATGTTGTGACTGACCATTTTTATTTTATGGCAGTTATTTATTTGTTTGTAAATGTATAATACAATATTTAATATAAAGCTAATAAAAAACAACGGCGATTATTTTATAAAATAAATATATCAGCTTTAATAAAATCACTCAGTTCACATACATTATTTTTATTACAAAACCCATCAAAATTTTTGCACTTGTCTAATAAATAATTAATTATTAATTGCTAATTGAGGGAAGAGACCTTTTAACTTTTTATCTTATTGGAGATTAATAAGAATAAAGTCTTAGCTGTATAAATGATTATAACTTTGTGGGAAATTTTGATCATGTTACAGATACAAAGCTCATTTAATTAAAGACAACATCTGATAATCAATTTGAATAAGATAGACAATTATCTGTTGTTTATATTTCATCTTAATTATTATAGATGACGATAAAACATAAATTAGTGGAGAAGGCTTTTATCGTGGGAAATCTCTTTAAGAGCTTGAGTGCGTTACGAAGATTACAATTATTATAAGATAGATTGCGAGTAAAAGCAACCTTAGCAACTTGACTATTTAATAAATGTTAGATTTTAGTCGGCTTAAACTTTTTATTTTAAAGATGATTATTTATCATTAATAAAAATAGCCAAGATAAATTGCTAAATTACTAAATTACCAAGATATATTCTTACGCTTTACTTTTTAATTTCATTACAGTCTCATTGTAGATATTAATTTATATTGTATTAGATACTAATTTGAATGAAAAACAAATACGCACACATATTCGCAAATAATTTCCATTGGTCTCCTATATCTATACGTTTTATCTTAGTTCCTTCAGCATTATTTTTTACCAACGTATATCGCGAATCAAGACAAAGATTTATGCGCCTGCGTGACTATGTATTAGCTATAAATATGTAGCTCACTTTTAACGCAAGAGTCAACCATTAAAATCCATTTCGCCAAATTCTTCACTTATATGTATACTTACGGATATACTGAAAAGATCGAGAATGAAGATTTTGTCAAATTTCGTGTTTATATTGGTTATTATGGTAAGTTGCGAATAATGCGAGTTTAATTTCTCAAAATATTAATTTTATATCTCAGTATTATTAATAATGCAATGATGTCCTTTTCTTAAAACTTCTATTTGTGATTTTCTTCGTGACAAGCTATAATATCGCGAAATCAAATATTTCTTTTAAAAAAAAAACCATCCGATTTATAAACATCAAGTGGTTCTATCATATTGTTAAATTATTAAATCACAATTGTTAAATTACGTTAAAATTATATTAAACTATATATGTTTTAATGCAATCAATTCATTCAGGTATTGGTTCATGGTTACGATCCTAAACGTGCACGAAAGTTTCAACAGAATATCATGAGATGCAATCAGAAATTGAACAATAGTAAGTATTAAAATTCTATATATCTACGTAAAGAAACATCATAATAAATTGCAAGATACTGAATAATAAAAATCAAGACAGACAAGTAAATACAATGTCTATTAGAAGATAATTGACATTAATAGCTAATAGTTCGCAGTAGAATTAAAGTAAAATCTTGCGACAAACAAGACGAAAAACTCTCTGTTACATTATTACATTCACAATTTCTACGTTGCAGATATATTAAATGGTGACACGTTCATTTGCGTATTGGAAAAGTATAGCAAAGTATGTATATATTTGTACTTTGTACGTATATATTTGTCTAATGTATCTTCACAATGTAACTTTAACATGTACTGTAATTAAATTATTAATATTTTATATTCATATAAATTTGTCTCTTTGTATAATATTTGCCTCTTAACATTTCAATAACAGAGTTAATAATACATTTAACATATCAACATGTGCTTACAAATTACAGTTTCTGTTTCATTGATCAATCAATAAATAATATATAAAAATTTCCAACGGCCAGAAATTTCTAATAACCTAGTTATATTATATATCAAGATTATTCTACCGATTGATGATCCCTCTTTTAAAATGTTCTCGATTTTAATCAAATGTTTCGATATGTTCTTCTCAAATGGGCAAAAAAATAATACAATATGGATTTAGACGCCGGCCTATATTCTTGAAATGTGACTTATGTTTTATATATCATATTGGTATAGTTATCTCGCGAAACTGTAATATTAGAGAATTTATTATATATTATAAAAAGACTCAAATGAGTGTAGGTAAAATACAAAGTGAATATGACAATATTATCTTTAAAATGAGCAGCATATATTAATAGCTCAATAACAAAAGATACAGAAGATGAGTAAATTATAGATATATATTATGTACAAATATATATGAACTATATATATACATAAAATGTTAATATTTTATATAATAAGTATAAGACATGCGAAGTAATTGGTTCTATCTGTTGTAGATATTTGACGAGAATGGTTTATTTATATTGGATGAAGTCTTGAGTTTAATTTGGGATGTTATTCCTAAAAGACACAAAGCGACGATGGCATTTGTGTCCTTCAAGAAGTGCTACGATGGTATTTAATTTTAATAAAACATATTTTAAAAAATAATTTTTGGTTAATTTGTTCAAACAACTTTTATTTGTCTTAAGAAATGTAGCATTTATTGATTTCTTCTATTACAGAATTATCTACCGAAAATATCACAGCTAACCAAACGTCAAAGATTATGGAGTGTAGTTTACCGATTCTACCTCAGTTGATAAATAATAATTAAAACTAATCGTAGATTTTATTCCATACAATATAAAAAATACTTTCTCTACATTTCTTTTTTTTATCAATTCTCTGTATAACTTTATCTGTACTTTATCATTTGACTTTTTTCTGTTAATTTGTATGTTTATAATAAACATTCAATAAAATATGATTTTTTGAGAAAAAATATTTGACAAAATTAAACGTATCCATATCAAACAAAGCGGAAAATAATCATTTGGTAAGTATGTGATAAGATATGTTTCGACTCGTCCATCTTCCGTTCCATCTTCGACTAGTCTTAAAAACATTTAAACAGCTATATATTAACAATTTGAGTAATTTAAATATTCGTTTAAAAAGATGTATTGAAATGGAAGGATTAATCGTTATTCACGAAGAATATTTACCTTATACAACACTTGAAACTTGAACAAAATTTGTTCGAAAATATGTGTGTGTTTATATTAATCTCATGTAAATTTTCAATCATCTTCAACATATGGAATGTTTTTTAATTATTGCGTATTAATTACACAGAATTATACATTGCATTTTCACCTTTCTGATTTCATATCATTCAATAAATCAAAAGTTACTAAAAATTCTCGACGAGCTAATATAAATAATTTTATAACTATATTTTCTTATTATTGTTAATCATTTCTTATTATTGTTAATCGAGAAATCGGGAATGTATTCAAAATAGAAATAAAATTTTGATATTATATTACATACGCATTAGTACAAAGTATTATCCGCTTACATATATAACGCGCAATTAGCAAAAGAAGCGCAAATGTTGAAAAGACTATAGGTTAATATATAACATTAATATAAATAATTAATTATTAATTGCTAATTATGAGAGAAATCTAAATTACTGTGAACGCATTTGTTTGGCCGCTTTCGTTACAAATCTATATCTGCATCCGGATCCAAATTTTAATTCCGATCCTTCAATTTTTACCCAAATAAACCGGAATTTTAAGCGTCACATTTATCCAATATCTAATTATCTATTATCGATTATTACAATCGGATAATTTGAGATCCGAATATTAATATACTTGAAATATGGAGTAAGGCAAGAAAAAGCAAAACAACGAAGTAACGGTTTAATTTAACCCCCCCTCTCTCTTTCTCTCTTTTTTTCTATAATTTTTTTCGATACCATCTTATAACGACTTCGTACTGTGTCCAAAACACACGCGGGACACGCGTGATGAAAGAAAAAGTGCGGTATACACAAATAATTTAAATCAGAGATAGAAAGAACGTAAGAAAAGATAAGAATAGAAGGCATAAGCAACATAAGAAGTAAGGGACATAAGAAACATATGAAAAATAAAGAATGTATAACGTTCAAGAAGTAAGGAAAAACACATATTGGTGGAAAGATTGTTAATCGTTTCTGTATTTATCTAGTTTAACGATTTCATCAAAAATAAAAAGTATAGCATAATACATAATATAAATAAATGTAAATGCAAACATAAAGTTTAGAATGTTTCTTTTGCTTTACAAATTACAATTAAAGTGATCCCGTGCTGAAACAACACTAAAAATTTAGTCACTGAATATGAGAAATAATTATTAAATAATTCGAATATATATATATATATATATATATATGATAGGTGATATGATAACATTGTTAATTTTAAAACGTTACACATTAATATAATTATTATTATTAAAAGATTTAAAGAAGGTCCTCAACTTTATGGTTTAGAAAATTATTATCAAAAGAAATCTATTATCGAAAGATCTTTTTACATAATACAGTAAGCATTAAATTATTGATTTAATATTTTACAGATTTTTAACATGAATATAGCGAGTACATAAAGAAGGAAGTTTTGACGAGATATTTGAATATGATATCTCCGACGAAGATAAACTATTACAACAAAGACATTTGAGCGTCTTCACGTCAAAAATTTATTTTCGTTATTATTGCCATAAATTTATTTTTAATTTCAGACTGGGGAACATAATCAATAAGCAAATTGTGAAACTAAATTCTTCGACAACTAAATTACAAGCAAATCGTATTCCACGAATACATCATAAAAACGATCTTTTCTTTTTCTCCGAGATTAGCAATATTGTACTAAACATTGTTTGATATTTCCGTTACATTCTATGTTTGTAATAACGACTCGATAAAATAATTATCGGCTGGTGTCACGAAAACATCTGTCTCACGAAGCAAATTTTTTATACATTTGAGTTAACACATTTTTTCAATTAATATCTGAATAATTATCATAACTGATTGCAAAATGATAAGAGGTTTTTTCGTTTAATTTCGATGTTATCTTATAGCAAAACAAATCAGATAAATTATGCTGAAAGGTCACCAAAAAAGCGGGCTACATACGTATAATAATATTTTTACTTATAAATAAGAATCGCTTATAAATACGCGGCTTATTTTTGGCACGAGATATAGATTTACGATTAAATTTGCTTGCATCAAATTTATTTCCTCCTTGAAAGAATTGAGAGAATCCAAGATGAAAACTTTGGTGATTACTATAGGTGTATTGGCCGTTGTAGTAAGTCACATGTGACATGTGAACTTCTTTGCAAACTCACGATATATTCGCGGCATATCTTTCGACTCTATATTGTTAATATAATTATTATTTTTCTTAATGAGTAATTGGCTTATATTTTATTACATGCTTCTTGTGTTTAGTTTGCACATTAATTAAAATACTTCTTATAGCAATACACGTTAATTAAAACACTTCTTACAGTAGTACAGAAAGAGTGAAGCGACAGCTTTGATATTAATATAACACCTAACTCAAAGTATTTCTCAATATTAAATAATTTACATCCATTTCAAAATTTGCTTTTTTCTTAACGTCCAATATTCTTCGATGACATCCTGTATGTTCGAGTCGTAGATATAATTTATCTTAAAAAATTTTTAGTACATGTTTGGCATATGCGAGATAACAAAAATTAAATATGCTTAATAAATAACAAGATATTAATATTGTTCTCTTTTCTTTAAATCGTATTTATTTAAGTTCTTCTGTGGGAAGCCACAATACTATAGATTATAGTAGAAGAATATAATAATTAATCGTAAAATTTGTTACTTCTTCTTGTGAGCAAAAAATCTATTTAAATTATAAACGCTGATATCGTAATTGCATACAATAATTAACATCTTACCTTTTAAAAATAGGCTTATTAATAGGCTTACTATACATTAATGATGTCGGTAGATAAAGTACTAAGACAAGATGAACCATTATTATTATTAACAATTATTATAAATAATTATTATAAGCAATTTTATACGTTTTGGTACAATCGAGCCTTTCAAGCGGCAGTTTGTGGCTACGACTACTATAGTGCAAAAAATTATAAGGAGAATTACGCAATTTGTTGCAAAGTATTCAATGTGCCATCGGGTGAGTATTAAAATTTACCTACAGCAACATATCCTAAAAAATTATAAAATCATGAATTACAAAGATTTAGGCAGACAAATAAATACAATAAAAATCATAATATCGGGGATTTTATTACGATAGAATTATCAGAACTGAACCGGCAACAATATGTCACTGAAAAAGATTTACAAGAAATAATTACATAAGATAATTACATGAAAAGTAATAAAAGTCCGAGCTTTGTTCTTTTGTGACACATATTGAAGGCTTTGTCGTCGATACTAAGCTATTAAGAAAGTATAAAAAGTTTACATAAGGAAGTTTGATTCACATTTTTCTGAATTATTTAATTTGTCAACGATATTACTAGATAGTTTGTCGATCAATCAAGAGAGAAAGAGAGAGAGAGAAAGAGAGAGATTTAATAAAATAATTATTTTAAAATAAAATAAATTACATTCCCCCCTTGGATCACAATTATAATATTGGGGACAAATATTTTTAAAAAAACATTCAAGCTTGTTTGTAAAACAAAATAACGTTACAGTAAAATTATAATAATAATTTCATAATTTAACAGTTGAAAAGGAAATCGTTTCAGATTCACAGTGTATCCTTATTTTGTCCAGTGTATACTTGTTGCTCTATACTGTTAACAATCTTTCGTGTTTGTTTTATAACTGCTCAAGCTTCACGTTTTTAAACAATGATAACACGAACGCTACTACCGATTAATTCGCATTAATTACAGCATTTAAACAGAAAATTCTTCAATTGTCTTATTATATCTTTAATTTGTACGTTGCAGATAAATTCAATGCTGAAGCATTCAAATGCGCAATGTTCAAAGATGAACGAGTATGTACATTTGTATTCAATATACATTGTAATTTACATACACTATCAAATTACTCTTTATACATAGTATTATTAAAGTATTAGTTTACAACCGTACATATTTGTTTCTCTGGACAAAAGACTATTACAAAAGCATGAATAATAATACCAAATAACATTAACGACGGCAACAACCTCATCAATGCGTTATTATGTTTGCTGAGCTATTGATCATACTTTCTTAAATTACCAATAAATAAAATAATAATAAATAATAAATTAACAATACATGTATGCAGTCGAAAAAGTCTAATAGTCTAGTTATATAATATATCAAGATTATTCTACCAATTGGTAGTTACAACGTGTTTTGAATTTATAAAGAACTGTTTCGATGTAACGTTTATGAGTAAAAGAAAAGAAGTATGATATGAATATAGATATAAATATATATCCTTGAAATATTAATCATGTTTCACAAATTGCACGCGCACAATTAAAATAGTCTCGCGACACAATGTTGAAAAATGAAAAATTCATTAATAGATTATAAATATAAATTTATATTCTACGATATAAAAAGAGGCAATAATTTTATGAATAGTAGATATAACAATATATTGTTATAATACAATATTAACACACAATATAATACAATATTAAAACACAACGTACTAATATGTTATTAATGAATCCAGCAAACACAATATTACATGTAACATGCATGTTAGTTACAATTTCCTACACATGTGTTATATAACAGTTATATTGTTGAGTAGGAAATTACAACTAACATGCACGTTACATATAATATTGTGTTTGCTGGGAAATATATGAAAAAGATATATATATACATAAAAGTTAATGATTTACAATAATATATTACAAATTTTATATGATATCACGAGGCATATAAAAGAAGCAATCGGTCTTACCTATTTCAGGTTTTCGACGAAGATGACATAATTAGAAAAAATGGATTCTTATCTTACTTGAAGATGTTATTACCGACCGAAACAAATTGAGAATGGCACAAACAATATTCAAGAAATGTTACGATGAAGGTATTCGATCTTGTTGATAGATAATTTATTTTGAAAAATCTGAAAAAATATAATCTTGAAGAATAATTATTTTATCTTAATAAAAATTTATGCAATAAACGAATTCTCTTTTAATTGCGATGTTTAAAGGCAAACTTCCCATAATAAGGTACCTGAAGGAGGAAGACTACAACTATATGGAAATCTTGCCAAAGTTACTTACTTTCACAGATCAGGATTAAAAACAAATTGTAGATTTTCCTTCATATAGTATTACGGACTTCATATAGTATTCATACAGTATTACGGACCATTCTTTACATATCTTTTTTCGTTTTTCAAATTCTGTGTGTAACTTTTCCTTTATATTACTTCGTCTTTTTCTTTTGAATTATATGTTCACGATGACAATTCAATAAAACGTATTTACATTAAAAAAATTATGATATAAACTGATAAAATTTATTTCAGCGATTTGATTATCTATCAAGTATCAAATCTGAGTTGATAAAGTCGCAAAATGGCTTAAATTATTTATTTTTCAAGCTGTTATTTGTCACTACAACGTGAAAAATAAATCCTAACTTAAATAGTCAAATTACTAAATTACCAAATTGTCAATATATTTGTTCTCAATCTCTTAAAATAATTATCTAATTATAATTACCATTTGCATATCGCAGTTTTATTAGATATTAATTTACATATTACTCATATTATACATATTATATTTAAGTAGAAAATAGATATCACAGATTTTTTCTTTTCATTATCCATTTTCCTTTTCATTATTTTACCTTAGTTTCTGCGAAATCAGCATTACTTTATACTTCTATATACTATTATATACTCTTATATACTATTATAAATCGATATATAATGTAAAGCATATCAATTAAAAGAAAGAATAACAAACATTACATAATGCGCCTGCGTGTATGTAAAGCGTGTCAGCTATAAATACGCGGCTTTCATTTGACGAAGACTAGTCCATATTCAAAATCCGTGTACTTCAATTTGTTACTTACTTAAATATATTCAAAAAATTAAGAATGAAAATTTTGATTATTGTTGGTGTACTGTTCTTTACGGTCAGTAATTACAAAACAAACAACTAAAGTTTTTTTGTTATAAATTTACAAAATATATTTCAACAATATTGTTAATAGTTATAATTATTATTTTACTTCAATAAATAAATTAAATCTTACATCGTAAAATTACCTTAAATTTTACATCGTATTATATATCTTTTGTATTTTTTACGTTAATTTAAATATTTTATGTAGTAGTACTTCTGTAATGAATATTCCTTTTGAAATGATTGCCTTTATATTACGATAAATTATATTAATATTATGATATTAATATAATACTTTATCATTAGTTCCGATAATAAATCGATATACCTATTTATCAAACAGTTTGTGTAAAATGCAAAGATTATTATACTTAACATCTAATTATATATTTATTAATTATATATACTATATTATATATGCTATATATACTATATTATATACTATATACTATATATATATATATATATATATATATATATACTATATATACTATATTATATACTAATTATATTAACTTAACATTTAATCTTTGGAAACGTTATATATGTTCAATTTGTAGATTTAATTAATTTAATTAATAATAAAGTAATTTAAGTAATTTAAATAATTTAATTAATAATAAAAAGTTTTATATTCGTATTTGAATTTGCAAGAGAACAAAAACTAAAACCTCATTTAAACAATGTGACGATATTCTTTCTTAAATATTTATACACTTATTTTTTTCGTGGAAAATGTTTTTTGTAAAAGACATTATTATAATAGATAGTAAGAGAATATTATAATCTATCGCAAAGTTTATTATTCCTTAAAAAATTGTAAAAAAAAAATCGTATAAATTATAAACTTCTGACACTGAAATTTCACATGATTGCTAAATTGAAATAAAAAAATTATGATATGTTTACGTGCAATTTATCCTTTTAGATAATGAGTTACAGTTATAATGTTGAACGTGCATGGGAAGCTGTGGAGCATGTACATAATTGCCAACAAAAACTTAAGACAAGTAAGTATTAAATTTCGATAATTATAAAAAATAAATTACAAAAAGTCAGGGATTATAAAGATCTAGACAAAGAAATAAACACGATGTACGTTAAGACGCCGGTATTAGAATTTAACCTGCAACAGGATGCCTGCAAAAACTCGTGATAAACATTTATATGAAAGACGATTGTAGGCATTCAAGTACTCTTTTGTGCTACCTTTTTGAAGCAAAATTCTGTCGTTATCAAAAATTAAAGCTAGAATGTCTATAGAGCATAATAATTTTAAATAATAAAGTTTAGTTGATGTGGTTACAAACTATGGAATTTGTTATAATCGTCTAAATAATTATTTCACAATTAGAAAGTTGGATAAAAAATAGCTTTAGATTTGCATTGCCTTTTTATTTCGTCAAGCATGCTGTTATTTTGATTTTTTGTTAACAATTTTACGTACGTATATTTGGTAACCATAGTTTTGCATTTCTAATTGGGAGAACAAGAACATTTCTGAGACTAGTCGGCTCGAGTTAGTTATAGCATTCAAACAAACAACAAAGTGTCTCAATTTTATTATTGCTGTAATTTTTGCGTTATAGGAGCACTCTTTAGCAATTTATTACTATGTATAATGGTACACGATGGACAGGTACGTATATTTCTATTTAATATACATTTATTAGTAAAATAATCTTAAGATATGGTGCAATTATGTTACTATATTGACAATATGTAAGATGTTTAATATATGCAACTATAATCGCTATAATGAAAGAATTATATAACTAGATATGAAATATTTATGTATTAAATGTTACAGTGTTAGTAACAATAACCAAATGTACATATACTTTGTTAGAACAACAAGAAAATATAATTGGCACTGAAAATAACTATATGTTTCGCGATATTAAAACTTTTCTTCTATATGATCTATATGATCAATAGATTCTAAAATAATCTAGTAACATTGTATATTAAGATTATTGTAACAACTGATGATTATAAGATCTGCTAATTTAATCGGACACGGGCATATGTGTATATTCAAGACGTTTCTTTTTGTTATATATATATATATATATCGTAAGGTTTCCAAATTTAATGGAGAAGAAGGATATTTATTTATAGCTAATTTACCCTTTGCATAATTATATTTTGTGTAATTATTTTAATTATACCATATTCCAAAAATATATATATTGACATCGAATGTAATTTGTCAGTATTAATTACACGCGACACATTTTCGATGTAATCCATATCCACGAAGTCTCACTTATGTACCAGAAGAGCTGTAGACATTGAGATATACAAAAAAAAGCAATCAATCTTATCTATTTCAGGTTTTGAATGCGCATGGCCAATTTAGAGTAAGCGCAGCCTTAAGATTTATTAAGGATGTTATTGCTGACAAGGAATCAATGAGAGAGGCTCAAGCGTTATTCAACGAATGTTACAAAAACGGTTTTTGTTGATTTTATCAGAAGATAATTAAAATATAATTTTATGAAATACAGATAATTTTATGATATTTATAATATTTATAAATAATCCTTATAAAAAGATAATATTCATAAATAGATAATCTTTTAGAAAAATAGATAATTTTAAAAGATTTATTTTCTTGAAAAATAATTACTCCATTTTAATAATTAATTTTTGCAATTATCATATCTCTTTTCATTTACAGAGTTTAAAAAGGCATCATCACGAATTAATCGTACGGAAAACATAGCCATATGCGCCATGCCAATTATACGTTTCTTTAGCCGACCACAGTGACATCAGCTTTACTTCATATATCATAAGAAATGCTGGATTTTTATTGAATTCTTCCAACAATTGTTTTATAGCTCTTGTATTGTTTGACCTCTTTTTGTTGACTTTTATATTCATGACACAGTTAAAAAAAAAGTTGCTGTTTTCGCAAAAAACTTTTGATACTAAAAATATCGATATCGAGCAAGATGGAAAATAATTGTCTGAATAGTTGTGTGACAAGATGCGTCTGAATTGTTTCAAGCTCACTTTAATCGTTCATTAATAGTTTCATTTATTCAAAAACCCGTTTAAAAAGATTTATCGAGAAGAAAGATTTGATTAATGTTTATCCGCGTTATTTATCTTTAATTTGTAAAGTTCAAGAAAACTTTTCTCGAAAATAAGTTAATTAAATCTCGCTATTTATGTCTAATTAAATTATCACTATTAATTGAATATCATGCAAATGTTTAATTTTTCTCGATATATATGGAACGTATTTTTAATTGTCATCCACTTTAATTACATAACGTTTATTACGTTGCTTAATAAAAAACAACTTAAAATATCCCAAGCCTCTATTGTCTTTGTTGAAGGAGAATAATATTAAGCGTTACAAAATATTTATTGCTAATGATAAATGAAGATCGCATAAAATTTCCGTCTATATAGAAATGATATAGCAAACATGGAATAATCGTGAAAATTACATTTTTATGTGACATTATTAAAATTATTATCTTTCGTGATGATAATTATTATAAACACTAAAGGCAGTTTAAAAAAAAAGAGTGAAAAAGAGTCAACGGAATAAAAAGGAGAAATATATTTTAACTGTCAGGTATAATTTCAATTGTGTGACTTCTCTTTGACGCAGATACTATAGATGCAGATGCTATAGACGCAGATATGGTCAGAATTATCAGTAATATTTTTAACTCTTAGCGCTCTGCGCGTTTTTGTACCACTGCCTACCAGCAACTCCGGCACATTTTTGCAGCGGAGCGTCTGAGAAAAAGTCTTATTTTATGTGGAAGGAATTACGTGCTTGTGAATGTTTTTGATTTTATTTATTTTATAAATATGTATATTCCTCTTACAAATGAAATATAAATTTTTAATTTTATAATTCACCATCGTGTGATATCTTTGGAAACATCTCCCATGTATATTTTGTGTTTACTTGGGCAAGTGTCACAGTACTCACCAGTTTGAAGTCTGCCATCCTTTTCTTGAAAACAATACTTGAAAATAATAATAAAATAATAATAATAATAATAATACTTGAAAATCAAATACGTCTTCACTATCACTCAGCTCTAAATTTTCATCATAACATTCAATCGTCTCCATGTTTTTAACCATAAAAAAAGTCGTAAAATAATTTAACCTCAATATTACAGACTTAGCACGTTTTAACTACAGATAACAATTGCCAACGCCGACGATGACATAGCATCTTAAGCGTAATCATGTTAAAAACATTTGGCTCTGCAGCGGAGCCACCGGAGTTACTGAACAAATGAGCTCCGTACCGGAGCCAATGGAGCGCTAAGGTTAATATATTAATAAGTGTTAATTTAGTATTCTTTTGTTTTATAACCAACTATTTAATATATGGATGTAACATATCAATAAAACAATACATAAAATACATATGTTAAATACAATACGTTAAATGTACGTTATATACAATTGTTGCCATAGAATAATTACGTTAGAGTAAATATTTGTGTTGAAATAAATAAAAGATGCAGAGTGAATCTTTCAACTTACAATTTTCTTGTTTCCAGAGATCTAGAGAAATCAAAGATTATTTTACATTGATAATATCATATTACTTTTATATACAGGGTGTTTGAAAGCTTATCATGCAGACGAAAGTTGGAGATAGATTGGGTATAGCCGAGAAGAAAAGTCATGTACCATAATGTCAAATTGGCAATAGTTATCGAGTTATTAATTAAAACATGTGAGCCAACGAGCGCGTAGAGAGCAGAGGGCGGCCGCAGTAAGCACGTAGACATTTGGTACAGGCGGAGTTAACGAGCGGTGATAGGCGAGCGCGCGCGGCGAGGGGCGACTTAAGCGACAAGAAACGCGACAAAGAGCTTTTTCCTTATAGCTCGTTCGCTCGCCTTTTGTCGCTTGTGCTCGCTCGTTCCTCATCGTTCGCGCTCACTCGCTTCTCGTCGCGCGCGCTCGCCTCTTGTCGCTTACGTTGCCCCTCGCTGCGCGCGCTAGCCTATCGACACTCGCTGACTCCGCCTGTATCAAATGTCTACGTGCTACCGCAGCCGCCCAGCGCTCTCTACGCGCTCATTGGCTCACATGTTTCAATTAATAACTCGATAACTATTGCCAATTTGACATTATGGTACATGACTTTTCTTCTCGGCTACACCCAATCTATCTCCAACTTTCGTCTGCATGATAAACTTTTAAACACCCTGTATACAGGATGATCTAACAGACGAAATTTACATGGAGCAGTCAGAAGCTTTTGAAGTTCGAAAACAAGAAGACGAGGTTTGTCTGCTGAGAAGACAACTTTATGGTTTAAAACAGGCGAGTCGATGTTGGGATAAATATAGAAAGAAATGAACCTACAGCTGAAATAAAGTTAACACAGAAGAGGTACATCACAGATATTTTACAAAAGTTTGCAATGGAAAATTGTAGACCAATATGAACGCAGCTTGAGACGAATCAAAAATTAACAAAAAGGGTCGAATCAAACTCAGTAAATAAAGAAGGAAACGCATAGAGCATAAATCATGTCGAGAACTGATAGGTTGTTTGATTTATTTAGCTAATGCAACGCGTCCAGATTTAGCATTTGCTGCTAGTGCATTAAGTCGTTTTTGTATTGATCCTGATGAGATTCATTGGAAACTCGCGAAAAGAGTACTCCGATATTTACAAAATACTATAGATTACGGTATAACATACACTAAAGATTGTAAAGAAATGCAAGCTTATGTAGATTCGGACTGGGCTGGCGACGTAGAAGACCGAAAATCGTGTAGCGGTAATGTAGTTATGTTAGCTGGCATCCCAATAAGTTGGGAATCGAGAAAACAAAAATCTGTTGCTTTATCCACAATGGAAGCAGAATACGTAGCTCTGTCGGAAGTTTGTAAAGAAGTAGTATACTTAAGACAGTTGTTAGAACATATGGGATTTAAGACTAGTATAAAAAGTGCAACAGAGATATATTGCGATAACCAAAATACAATAGAATTGAACAAAAATCACGTATTTCACGGCCGAAGTAAACATGTTGATATTAGATATCACTATTCGCGAGAAGTTAGAGAAAGAGGCGAAATTGATTTAAACTATTTACCTTCTGATAAAATGATAGTGGATTTGTTGACGAAACCCTTAACTAAGGCAAAACACGAAGAATGTAAAATTATTAAGGTTAAATTAGTACAAGATTACATCTTTGACTAAATATAAATAAGTTACTTTTGTTTATCCTATACTTGCGTTTGTTTAATGTAAACGTATGCGTTTGCTAAATCTGATCAAATAGAAGAAACATTGTATGTACTACGGACACATTGATAGGAGGAGTGTTGGAGAAAATAATGTTTAGTTGATCAATGCGTTACTCCGTTAGGGCAAAACAGATTATTTTCGTATATCGCGTTAAGAATTACCATACTTTTATTTGGTCCTATTTCTATGTTCTGCGTTTCATGCGAACGGCTCGTCTCTCTCTCCCATGTGAATCGGCCCTTCTTTTCTCCTTCTCTGTATCATCTTCTTGTCTGTCATGTTGTTCTGCGCGCCTGACGTACGCACGTATATAGTTTTGTGTATTCAAAATAAATATCATTAACATATACGATACAACAAAGTGTATGATTAATTTGTACTCAACACAACATAACTCAGTTAGAAATGAATTATTAAATTTAGTAAATAACTGAATGAATAAAATAAATAAACTTTAATAACGTGTTCTTTCCTTATTACATTTTTAATTTCATTAATTAGCAGATTTGCCATAATTTTTATTTATAAAGCGATAGAAATCGAACACGTTAACGGTTAATGTATACGTTGCGCATGTTTTAATTCGGAAAACTATTTGGGAGCAATAATATCTTCTTCGGGTGATTATCTTCTTAGGATATAGAATTCGTTCAGTATTACTAAATGATTCTTTAATTTAAAAACATTTTTTAATTAGTTTAATATAATCCAATAAAGGAAAGATGTATGAAATTAGTAATTTTAAATTAGCTCAATATAATTCAATAAAGAAACAATATACATAAAGTTGAAAACTCATTAAAAACTCTCGATAAAAAATATGAAGAGCACATTTTGTATAACATCCTGAAGAGAATTTGCGATATGTTTTTAATCTATTTTGTCGAGGAGATCCAAAGTGTCCGCACTGCACATGAATATTTTCAACGTTTGCTCCTTACCGGTATTTCCACTCTGCAGCCCTTCAATTAGAATATTCGGTAATATCGATAATTATTATTCAATACGCCAATAGAATCGATTACCTTCGTCGTAGCACTTATTGAATTTTGTTGTTGCCTGTTGCAATCTATTTGTGTCGGAGATACCCTCTTCATATGCTTTCAACACTTTTTGTTGGATAATTTCGCCTTTGGAATCAAGCACCTGGAATACATTGGATTATTTTGTATGTCTAATTATTTTGTATGCCTGACTGTATTATGTAAAATAACATCTTTTCTTATATATGTGAATGAACCATATTACATACTTTTTATTAAGAAAATGATTATTGTCTACCTTCTTAATATGATATTCGTTTAATATCGATAAATAATTCAACAATGATAAACAAATAATGTAAAAACAATAAATAATAAAAATAGATTATGCTTTTAAAGTCAATTTCACATAATATTACTCGCCTCTTTACATAATTATAAATCTTTTCAATAATATTCAATAATATTGTCATAGGACGATTACATAGAGTGCAAGACGTAAAAAAAGGTGAAACAGATAATCCTTATAAGTTATAATAAACAATTTTCAGGGAGAACGAAAGTGTTCCGGGATGATATTGCTGTTAAACTAATTTTTTTCTATTTTTCCACATGCCACAGAGTGAAAATGCATTGTCAGTTTTCGGCACAGAGCGCTATGAGTGCTGGAAATAATTATAATCTGTCTGAGTGTGGTGGTATGCACACCATTTTCGGGGAGAACGAAAGTGTCCCGGGATGATATTGCTGTTAAACTAATTTTTTTCTATTTTCCCACATGCCAGAGAGTGAAAATGCATTGTGAGTTTTTGGCACAGAGCGCTGTGAGTGCCAGAAATAATCTGTATGAATGATTATATGTGCGTAATTTTCGCGAAGTACAACTTTCTTATAATGTCATGTCATATTTAACATAAATTTATCTTTTATATGTATTTACATTTATATTAAGTGATTTTTTTTAAATAAAGGCTATTTTCAATTTTCACTCCAAGAA